ACTACATTAAAGAAGTCAGAGAAGTCTGGTTTCAGCAGTCCCTCGCCTTCGCAGACCTCCTCCCTTGGAACGGCTTTCACCCAGCACCATCGACCTGTCATTACAGGACCCAGAGGTGAGGCCTAACCCAAGAGCCCCCCAGGCAGTTTAAACCTTAGCCATGGCACCCACGGCACCCGCTGTCTGTCCCAGCGCCTTTCCACGGAAAACCATCGCCACGTGTCACCCACCCAGTGAGAGGTTGTGCTCCAGGAGCTTGAGAACACAGAGGTTTTAGGTGTCAAGACGCGCGTTTGGTTTCGCTAGGCTGGGCTGTTTGGTACAACTCCTGATGAGCATCCAACAGGTGGAAACGCTGGTTTCTGGGGGTGTGGGGTTTTTATTTGGCGAGGGTGGGGAAAGGGACAGAATGTGTTGTGTTGGTAGCACAGGTTCAGTCTAACTGGTGGAGATAGGGACCCATCACTCACTTCTCGACCACGTCTGTCTTCCAGCTCTACGGCTTTGTTTCTGCCAGGCATTTAGTGCTCGTGGTGTTGGTACCAGTGTGAAGAACTGCCTTCTTAGGGGACACTTTTGAAGTTGGTTTCTGCAATGCTTTGGCTGGCTTTCTTCGTAGCACTCTCCTGCTTGCCTTTCCAAGTCAAAGAGATGTCCTCTGGGTCTAGATGTGCTTATACGTTTTTGTTATAAAGATGCATTTGCATTTAGCCTAGAAAACCAAATGCAATACTCGGTTCACGTTTGAAAAGGAGCTCACTTGGGTATAGTCATATCCACAAATGAATGAATCTTCTTACAAACCTCTTTGGAAGCTATTAAAATAGGAATGAATGGTTGTGACGTGTTGCTTTCTGCTGTGACATTTTGTCTCATTTAGAGAAGATTATTAAGGAATTGGTCAAATGGTGAAGCATAAAAAGACATATTAGCAATTCATACTGGAAATTATTTTGAAGTGTCTCTTTGGCATTAGTGCGGTTTTACTGAGGGCAGCATAAACCAGGAGGAGCCTCTTTGTCTGCACAGTCCAGGTGATGCGGTGCGAAGCAGCAGAATGGCACTAAGTTGAAGCGGGGTCAGAATTGCACTTCTTGGTTATTTATGCGTCGTTAAATCTACTTACTGTAGTTTGATTTGTTGTGGTTAATCCCATAAATTTATTTATTACCCTTCGACACACACCTTCAGAAGGTATTTAGGCATCTAAGTTCTAGACACATTTCCCTTGAAAGTTGAATCTGAGCTATCTGGCAAATAGCTCTTCTTTTAAAAGCCTTGATAATTGGTGATATAAGTGTGAATAATATGAGTGTTCCATTAACATTATATTCAGTGCACATCAGCTGACTGGATTCCCATCTTTTAGAAGTTCAGCCTTTTAGATTTGAGTTGTTGATTGATAAGTTAATAGGCCTTTATTTAGCTATGTTTTACCTCACACTTATTTTTTAAGCTCATTGAATGCATCATTTTGTCTGCTCCTGTTTAGACCTTCTGTATTTTGGATCTTTGTGTGGCTGAAAGAGGAAATGTATCACTGATGAGGTCTTGTTTAAATCTCATCTGCAGCCTGTTTTAGCAAGACTCTTTCTGTGCACCAGGGCATGTCCATCAGCTGTGTCAGAACATTCAAAGGCAGCCAGAATTTGAAGGAGCAAATACAATGATTGCAGTTCCCAAATTTTGTTTGTTTGGAAGGAAATGTCCTTACTAACTCCACAAAGAAGTAACGCAGTTCTTACTAACAGATTAAGCAAAAACTTTCTTCTGCAACATCATTCCAAAGCATCTCCTATTTTATGCTTGTTCACAAACAAAGTCTTTGAGGAAAAATCCCTCTGAATCCATCCATGGATTCTTTAAGTGTCATTGTCCTGGAAAAATCTTATTCCAGACCTCATTCTCTGTTCTTTTTAGACATTCCTCCTCAGTATTCTTCTTCCACAGCACACTGCCTGTGTTTATTTCTCTTCTGCAGCAATCGTTCAGTTAGGAAAGGGTAATACACTGAGGTGGATTATTTTCTGCAAATCCAGCTTTGTTCTTTATCCCGTTCCCTCCAGTGTCCTTTAGGGCAGTAAGCAGAAGAGAGGAGCTTTTCAGGTATCAAAAGTGGCAACATAAAGGGTATAATGCAGTCATATAAGAGGATAGAATCTTTCAGCAATTCATATCCACCATTAGTTACTGAAGGTTATACCTTTCTGCAGAAATGATGGGTATAGCAGAGTACACAGGGGTTGCATTCTCTTTGGATACACATGCATTATGTCAATGGTCAGTGCAGGTCATCCCAATTTACTTCAGAAAAGTAAGAGCATGATTTAATCTTCAGTCTGCAGAGACACTTCAGAGGAAGGCAAGTCAGGAGTAAGTAGGTCACCATCGGAGTAAGCTCCTCAGCCAACTGAGCGACTACGAGAAGGTTCAATCTCCTCCTGATGTTCGTATGTGCAAGTTTGTCGCTTGGATGTGTGTATGAGATGCATTTGTAAAGCACGATCAAAATAGACAGCAGAGAAGAAGCTGCAGACTATTCGTGGCAGGTGTTGTCATTGACAACCAGTGATTTATAACTTCTCAGGAATATTCCCGAATCCTTCACACGCTTCCAAACATTCCTTCAAACACAGTGTATGTCTTAGTCTGGGGTATCCCAGGATACTGAACGCCCTTTCCAGTGCTCCCCACGATGAGTTGTTTTGGAAACATAACTTCCTTAGAGGAGGAGCAGATCCCTAAGAGGATTTCTTAGCTCTGAGGTGCTCTACTCCATGACCCTGTTGGAAAACCTCTGTCCTCATGAAATTGCCTGTACCATGCGGTGCTGGGGAAGGCTGTGCACCAGTTTCCCATCCGCGTTGGTGCCTCTGCCAGTAGCCAGCCCAGCTGGGCAGTAGCCAGCAGAGAGGATCTGAGCTGGCTGACCAAAGGACCAGATGTGCAGCGAGTGCTGGCTCATGGATGCCAATGCTTCAGTGACTCCTCAGTAGTTCCAACAGATGGTGGTAAGATCCAAGTTTCTTTGGTGATAAGCTAGCAAAGTGATTCATGGAGCCTCACTTGATGATGGCAGTTTTTTGGGCATGACTCTATGAATGCACCATATGTCTTCTCTGGACCAGCGTGGTTAGGATTCAATGTCTGGCAGATGGTAAATTGATCACCTATAGGGTGGCTTTAGCATCACTATCAGTTGTAGAATTTATTTCAAAGCATTGAAAATGCGAGGAGTTAGAGCTCTGTCTCCTACGCAGCATTCTTTTGTTACCTGCAAGTTAGATTATTGGGTGGTGAGTGTATTTCACCACAGACCTCCAGTATTGCAAAGCCATCATGTGTTGCTGGCATCTTACATTTTCCCAGACATTAGCCCGCTTGAACTCTTTACCAGACAGGGAAGGATTTAAATACTATGGGTGACAGCAGTATTTACATAAGTGGTTTTAGGTTTCCATGTATTGCTACTTGCACTCTAGTGACTTTATATCTGGAGCTGGCTAAAACGTTAAATTGACCATGATCTTGTAAACCTAGGATATACAGCAGCCTGTGCTGTGGAGCATTCAAGCATTTCCACAGAATATGACAGCATAGATCCTGCCAGCCAAAAAGCAAGGGAGAAAAGGAAAAAAAATAAGAATGAGATGGTATGTTAGGGAGAGAAATGAAGGAGAAACACAATTACAAGAAACAAGGAACACAGCACAGAGGGAAGGACCCAAGGAAGTGGGGGTATGAGCAGAGAGAGAAGAGATGAAAGTCCAGCAGTGGAGTGGTTCCCATTATATTAATGCCTTCTGTAATCAGCATTGCCATTGAGATTTTTATCAGGATTTTTTCTGCCAGGGAAACGCTGCAGGGTTGTACCCTCTGCTCATGCCAAAGTGGCCAAAACTTCACGTCACATAGCTGAGAAGACACTGTGCCCTCCTCTATCCAGGTTCTCGCCAGGGTCATATCAGTGCCTGTTAGCTGTCCTGTCAGCCAGCGTCACGCGAAGCAAAGCGGTAATTCCTGCTAACTTGCTGCAGAGCTGCACAGTGTAAAAGGACATTGTGTAATGTCCTATTCCGTGCAGCTATCCATGGCTGCTCCTGCGTGCTGTCAGCTGGCAGACTAACGTCACCTTCTACTTTCCTTTGATTTTTGACAAAAACAAGTTCGTTCCGACACAGGCACCCTCAGAGCAGGGGATGGGGATGTAAGACAGCCAAAAGAGGAGAGAGCCACACCACAGGAGTAAGAAAGTGGAGTAGAAACCAGAAATAGCTAATGCTGACCAACAGGCAGTGAAAAGCAATGCTCCAGTTTACAATGTCAGGATAGCTGACTCTGCAGGTGAAGATTTTGATTTTCTCCACTCGCTTTGCAATTATAGGATGCTGAAGGAGAAACAGTTTCCTAACAGATGGCCTCAAGGTCAGGGTTTAGTAATTACTGGATACCCAAACTGCCATCGACTCCCGTACCCCAGGCAGGGGAGGGCAGAGAGGGAGGCCTGCAAACGGTTAAAACTTCAGCTAAACAAAAGTCAGGGACCGTGTAATTAAAACTCTACCTTTGTTGTATTGTAAAGAGTTAGCCTGTGACATAGGAAATATTTAAAGGAGCAGGCTGTTCAGCTAATTTGTGTGTGAGTGAACTGCTCAGACAGTCCTATCCTAAATTAACTGTAAGGCCACCCACTGAGATTGCCTCATAAAGGGCCATGATTGCTCAGCTTCGTTTTGTATAACCGTTCAATAATTACTAGATAAATGCATAACTAAAAGCTCTATTACACTAATAATTTGTACTGAGATAGATGTGTGGGACACCATGCTGGGTTAATTTGTCATCCCTGCAGCAAACTTCTAAAGAGGGCTCTTTTGCGGAGGAATTGTGTTAATATGTTGCTCCAGTGAGGACATGTTAGAGCAACAAGATGACTTGGTCGCTTAATCTCCTAAAGAGGCAAAATGCCTGGAGGGTAAGTGGCAGAAAGAAGAATGGGGGGTGATTAACACAGTGGACCCAGATTTAAACTCATCCTGACAAAAGGAGCTGATCTAACTGAGCAAAAGAATGAAAAAAAGGGGAGTGTTAAAAATACTAATAGGATTCCATGCA